GGGGGAAGATTCCTCAGGACTGAGAAACTGCAAAGCTGGGAAAGGAGGAGGCTAGGTCATTTTGATTGTTCAGGCATTGGGAACAGCACGTCACAAAGAGCAAGATAGGGGAAAGAGAAATAGATGGCTAGTGCCAAATTTGAAAGCCAGAGAAATAGATGCAAAGGAAGAACATTTCATTCTGATGAAAAAGAGCAAATGTCAGTGCAAATTCTGGCATATCTGCACAAGACAGCAATAGCATTACTAAGCCTAGAGCTGAAGAGCCGGCATCACTGCCACCAGGAAAGGGAAGGTAAGAAGCAGGGCAGGGACACTGGAGGGAATTGGGGGGAGGGAACACAGAAAAAAGAAAAGAAAAAAAGCCTGGAATAAAGAGATTGATTGAGAAATGAAGAGAAGGTGATGAGCAGTGCCAGGAAGTGACCATGGCAGGAGATGACAAGGAATGAGGAGCACATTGGCCTCTGGAAAGGGCCCCTGTCTTGGGCTTCACATCTCTCTGAGTGGTACCCATGCTGTCCAGCCATATTGGCTCCCCGTAGCCACCACAGTTTTGTACATTAGTTATTTGAAGCCCAGGCCTCTCTGGACAATGATCTGTCATTTACAGCAGGGCTACCTGTGTACTAGGCATGGTACTGCTGCCTCCTGTGTCATTTCATGCTGGCATCTGGAAAGGCCTTGCATGACGCAGGGCTGATGGTTCATCCCACCATGCTTCCTGGAGCTGTGAGCATTATGCTGAGAGGCACGGGTATTGTCAGAGTCAGAATGCCACTAAAAATGAGGCTTCCCTTGTCAACACCACCATGTTAGAGAATGCAAAATCTTCACAACCCAGGAGACAATATTGCCCTTGTCCTCTTTTTCTCCAAGAAGGCAGTAAACTACAAGTGCCAGAGGATGTAATCCAAGTGCTAATAAATTATTGATGTCTCTCTTCAGCTTTTTACTTACTAAAAGAATATCAAAGCTCATTTTATGAATGGTCCAGACAGATTCTCTTTTGGTATGCCCACAATCTAATTCACAAATATTACACTAAGCACTAATATTGAAGCAATGCAGTGTTCTCCCTTTACAGGCTTTGCAAAGGCTAATAGATGTTTTAAATTATATCGGCTCATAAACAGGTACAGTGAGGGAAATGCCACTTGTGATTCCAGTAAATATTTAAATTCATAATTTCAGAAAGGAAAGAGCTTGTTATTAACTAGAGATACACCTCTTTTTTTTTTTTTTTTTTTCTTTTTTTTCTTTTTTTTCCCCTACATTAAGGGCTGATTAAAATCCTGTTGAAACAAGTGGGCTTGCTCCTTAGGGATAGGCTGTCTCGTTCTTTGGCAGCTCACACAAGTGGTAGGACAGCATGACTTATTTTATATTTAGCAATAGCTCCTCTCTTCCAATATGCCTATTTGCATAAGTCAACTTAGAAACCATCTGTATTGGAAATACTCTTCCCATTCCTGTTCACTTTGGGGCAGCATGTGGCAGTTTGTTAACAGTATATATTAATTTATGCTGTTTCTTGGAGCAGCAGAGAAGTGATTTGAAGATGCCAGTGCAATTTTCCTAGTAGGAATCTCCCCCAGACAGAAGGCTTAATGTTTCTCTTTCATTAAAGTGCTCTGTGACTTTTGATGGCCGTGAGCACTCATGATCCCCATAGCTGTCTCATTTTTAAGACAGGCAGCAAGCTCCTGTGTATACCTCATATCAGACCTTCGCAAATTTAGCCCAAATAGTGTGTCTCATTAAAGAGCGGAACAAAATTCTGCCTGTTAAATTTGTGCTGTGTCCTAGCCAAGCTCAGAGGAAAGATGAGTGGCGTTTCGGCAGAGGCACACTCGGAGTGCCATTCACACCAACATGGACTGCAGTTCCTGACTGCACCAGTTCCTTGGTGCTCTGAATAGGGGAGGCAGCACCACAAACATGCATTGTCTCTGTTCTCTGCTTGCCATTTAGAGAGAGTGAGTGACCAGGCACAAAGCCCAGAAAAAGGAGCTGATTTTTACAATATGGTCTACATATTTTGCAAGCCAGCCTGCAAACTGCTCATCATATTTTTTTGTAATATATATATAAATATTCATAATTAATCCATGTTAAAATAGAGGAAAAAGCTTCTAAAGAACAAAAATAGCCTCTTCAGGCAGCTTACACCAGTGACACTGATCCTCTGCATTTCTGAAATTAAAAAAATGAGCTTTGCACGGCTTTTCCAGTACTTTCTGGAATTCCTTTTTTTTCTTTTTTCGCCTGTTTCTTCAGGTTGTGAAAGTTGATAACGGAGATTGATGCACTGAATCTGGAGCCACAGAGGTGGAAATAACAGCACCGAGTGATAGATGACATTTCTAAATCTTCAATCTCAGGGCTAGCAACCTTCGTTATCCCTTCTCTGGGTCTGCCTCATCTTCAGGCTTTTTCCCATGATTTTCAGGTGCCACCAGGATGCTGACAGTATGTCAGGTAGAAAGATGTACAAACCTTTGCCTTTTGGATCAAAACCCTGTGCTCAGCTGGGGGTACATCACTTCAAGAAATGTCTTCTTCTCTTAAAGGTGGAAGGGCTGGAAAGCCAGTCCCTGAGACTGCTTGCAGACCTGAGCACCAGACAGGATTGGTTTAGATTAAATAAATCACAGGTTATTCAACATCAAAAGCAGAGTGTCTGCGGAAATGAAAATAAATTAAAAACCATCCTGAAGCTGTTCAGGCTGCCGCAAAGCCCAGTGGGTATTAGATGTATTTATTAAACAGAGGTGACTGTTTGGCATGGGTTGACAGACAGACCTGAGCTCTGCCAGGTCTTTGTTTTCTGTCCTTGTGTGACTCAGCTTTTAAATCTGATGCTCTTACTCCTGGTCTGTTTGGCTGGGCTGCTGACACCTCCCTCCACAGTGTCTCCCTGCTCTCTGTAACAGCTGAGTCCCTGACTTCAGAGAACTGCTCACCCCTGTCACCTTATGAAATAGGGATGCCCTTCCTTGCTGCCTCACAGCACGATGAACCCCATTTTTGCTTCTTCCCATCATTGCTGCTGGTGCCTTTGACAGGTGCTGTGTAACAGTCCCTACCAGGAGAATTTGGCACCCATGTAACACTGGGTACAGATACCTCCAGGGACAGTTCTCTGGCTTGGCACATTTCCCCTCTAACCGCAGTGCTCCATCAGCACTGCCACCATTTTTACAGTGTGTGTGATGTCACTGAAAGCAACCACACAAACGCACAAGCTGACCAAGCAGACCGGGATTTTCATTTCTCTCTTCCCCTATAGGTCTTGCCGGGTAAGGCAGGGGCACTCGTTACACATTCTCTGATGCTCCTTCCCGCACCGCAGATGTGATCCACTCCCTGCCGTCTGCTGGCCAACTTAGCCCTGAGAGACTGTTCCCCGTTGTGCCACTTACGGAAATGAAGCAAGGTATTTTAAACGTGCGTTTTCTTGTGGTTTAGAAAACCTGCACTGTACTGCCTAGCACCGTGTGCTTCCTGCAGTTCCTCTCCAGGGCTGACGGAAGCAAAAGCCAGACTACTTTGCACATACATGCTGGATGCAGCAGAACAAATGCAACTCCTGGCAGAAGGAGGTGAGCTCAGGGGAGGAAAAGTCCCATGTGGCTGCAGTTATGGTGGCAGTGCACGTGCTGCAATGTGTTCAAAAGGTACAGAAGCCAAAGGGAGGCTGCCAAGTGTCTCTCATTGGTGTCCTTCACCTCCAAAGCCAGGAGGGTTGCTCCCTCTGGAATCAGCCAAGAGTCATCCCATGCAATCAGTGTCCTGAAATCCAGATTTAGCAGACACAACAAATCTAGAAAATCCCAGCTTTGGGGCTTTTCTCTCTGTATGTTCACACACATGGGCCGGGCAACCCACTGCCCAAAAGGCCCCCCCCAGCCAACCTCACATGCAGCCTTTGTGCTGGAGCAGAGTTGTGCGGAGCAGCACGCCTGATAAGCTGCAAGCATGTTGTGGCAGGAGTTGAGGTGTGAATATTAAAGCTAAGGTTGATGCTTCAAGTCTGCTCACTTGCCTGCTTGCAAGATTTTACGAAGCATTTAAAATACATACTGCTGTAGGGCACGGAGAGAGAAACAAATCAAATGAGATGAGCCTCACAAGGCAAAGAGTGTAATGAAACATGAAGCAAACATGCAGAGATAAGATGGTGCAGTACACCAGTCCTGGATGCAGGACAGCGGATAATGCCTGGATGTGCTGGGCGCAGGCAGGAGGAGGGAATGCTGACAGTGCAGGGGTTTGCAGGAGGCTGCTTGGGGGGGAACCTGTGCTGGATGGATGAACCCGCAAGGAAGGCTGAGGCAGAGGGGAGGGAGGAAGGGACAGGAGAAGCGGGGTTCCTCCATTTCCACTGTCGCAGGCATCGCGGCAGAAATTCTCCGAGGGTACACGTGTGTGAGAGGGCTGGGGTAGCCCCAGGACTCGCTCCCGTTGCTGGTCTCAGCGGACGGGAGAGGAGCGGGTCTTCTCGAGAAGTTTGGCCGTCCGGTGCCAGGGGCAGCCTTCCTCCTCCTCCTCCCCCTCGTCCTGCCGCCTCGTCCAGCCGCGCGGTGCCGCCGCCAGCCCGGGAGGGGTGCGGGCTTCGGGAGAGGCGGTCGGGGGCTACGGTCGGGCGGCGGAGGCGTGAAGCCGCGCCGAGCATCCCAGGGGCGGGGGCAGCTCGCTCCAGGAGGGGGGCGGGAAGGAGCCCCCGGTGCGGGAAGGACTCACCCCGCGGCTCTCAGCCTTCCGCAGAGGCTCTCCGGGAGCCGCCGGGCGCTCGCTGCCCACCTGGGGGGGCCGTGAGCGGCTGGGGCACCCCCCCTCCGCCTCGCCTTTCTCTCCTCCCCTCCGCCGCCTCCCTCCCTCTCTCCCTGCCCGCCTGCCTGGGATGGTGGAAGGAGCCGGGCAGACCCGGCGGGGCGGCCCTGGGCGCGGGGGGCGGCTCGGGGGCCCGGAGCCCCCGCCGCCGGTGATGGCCAAGGATGTCCTCGGAGGGGGAAGCCGAGGCGGCTGCTGAGAGCGGGCCGGGCAGCAGCCCCGCGCCGGGGCCGGCCGCCGCCGAGCGGGAGGAGGTGAGCGGCGGCAGGGGCAGCCGCCCCGGCCCAGGGGGGGCTCGGGAGGCAAAAGGGGAGATGGGCGTGGGGAAGGGGCCGGCGAGCCCCTCGCCGGGCAGCGGGAGCGGGTGGCCGAGGAGGGGATCCGCAGAGCGGGGGAAGCCGGCGAGGCAGCCGCGGCCCCCGCAGCCCGGCCGGGACCTGCAGCCGCGCCGCGGGGGCGGCCGCCAGCAGCCGCCGGTAGGGAGCCGAGAGCGGGGCAGTGCGGAGCGGAGCGGGGCTCTGCGCGGTGCGGAGCGGACCTCAGCGCGGTGCCCGCCGCGCCCTGCAGTGCCGGGGGTGCCGGCGGGAGCGGGCGGAGTCCCCAGTGGCCAGGTGCTGGGGGCGCCGGGCTCGGCTCAACCCGGCCGGGCGGGGAGCCCCTCTGCGGTCCTTCCCCGGTGCCGCTTGCCGCCCCGCTGAGCATCTCCGTGCCGGGAGGATGCGGCATGGAGCAACGGGGTCTGTCGGGTGGAAGTTTGTCTCCAAGAACGCCTTGGGCTTTGTCCTAGGGGTGCCTACCGTTTCACGAGGGTTTCTGAGATGGTTAAGGGAACTGCGGCTCTCAGGCACTGGCGTGAGTTGCGGGAGGGGCAGGATGAGTGCACAAATGGGTTTGTAGCCTGGAGCTGGGTGGCGTTCAGGTGTTTGGGCCAAAAGACTGAGGTCATCCCTCCCATTTTCCCGTGGGGTCTAGGTTCTACCGATGCTTAATTTGCAGTAGAAAACGCTGTAGCACATATGGCTAAATGTATTTCTTTGCATCATCTGTGAAGCCCTTACTGTGGCCTTGAAGATCATAGGCAGGGGATGACGGATGTGTCTGAGCACTGACACAACAAATACTGAGCCACAAGGCACCAGCCAGACAGCTGCAGGGCTGTGCAGCAGCCGATGACAATATGCTCACAGCCCTGTATATCCAGGACAGCCAGTTATCTGGTGTTCACAGTGCCTGAGATTTCCCTCTGCACCTCATGCAGTCTTTGCTCCCAACTGTTCTGACAGGTCTGCCACTTAGACTTCCTAATCCATGTACAAATCATGGAAGTGGTTGAACTTTCTTCATGACATAGAGATAACAACAAATGTAGACACTTACAGGGATGCAAGGAGCAGCCTTCAAGCAGTCAGAGAAGTGAAAACAAACCTTGAACATTTCTGTGGGCAATTGGTCAACTTAAAGCTTTTGCTAATGGGTCCCATGGCTTGTCAACAGTCTCATGATCCTGTAGTTGAAATAAAGTTGGCTCAGCAAAGCCTGCATGAAACTGCAAGATGCTTAGGTTAAACTACAGTTCTTAAAGTACCTAGAGTAGAAAATTGACTTTTCAGCTTAGGCTGAAAAAAACTGTCTTCTGTGGGTGAAAATGAGGGTTTTCACCTGTCCAATTGTTTTATAAACACCTGCGACACAGCTCACTGCTAAGAGCTGTTACTGGGTCCAGGATACAGCTGCTGTTCTGACAGCCGAGCTCCCCAGTGTAATTACAGCCCCGCAGAAGATCAATAGATGGTTAATGCTGAAAGGGATTTTTTGATTTATTTGGCCTACAACCATGAGCTACAGAAGATTTTCCAATATATTAAGTCCACCATAAAAAATATCTAAGTCATTTCTAGACATGAGAGCACTTGATCTTTCTGCTAAGCACATTATATCTCACTTCAGTCATCCTCCTCTCTGTTTTTCTTCTGTTCCAGCACAAACATTTGCACATGAATCTATATCTGAAATGCCTGTAACAGTGATGTCTTAACCCTGCAGTCCTTCTTCCTTGGTCTTTTCCTCTTGCTTCTTCCATCCCAGTGTAAATAGTCCTTTTTGCTTGGATCTGCAGTTGTACTGAAATGTCCTGTATTAAGCAGGCGTTTAATGGGCTTCTCTATGACTCTCATCATTTATGGATTTCCCTTGGATCAAATACATAGACTTAAATCTTAACAATGGTTTTAAATTGGCTTTATTTGGGGGTAAATCAGTGTGAGATAAAATCCTCAGTGACTAACGGAGAATGTGTCTGAAGTCCAAGCTGTTGTTCTTGAAAACAGCACAAATGAGGATGCTGCTGCGGAGCAGAAAGAAGAGAGCCTGCTTGGTCCCCAGCTGCAGCATGGATCCAGTTCTTCCAAGGGCCGCTTGGGTTTACAGCTGTTGTTGCTGAATGTCAGAGCAAGCTCTCAGATTACCTGCCACTACTCAGATGTTTTGTGGTTTGTTAGTTTTTTTTTTTTGGGGTGGTTTGTTGGTTTGGATTTTTTTTTGTTGATATTTCTTTTTCTTCCTATTGAAATATCAATTTTTTGAGCTGAATGACCTGAAATTGTCGTGGTTTCAGTGGTGGTGTTGGATTTTTCAATCCCATTAATTCTTGTGCATTCACTCTTGAAGGGAAGGAATAGAAGGGCCTTATTTTTCTAAACATTTCAGCAGTTATTGTTGTTGACGGTTTTTCTGATAGATTCTCCTTTACTTTCTTCCCCTCTGCTCTGTACTGCCCTGGTTAAGCTGTGGGCTGGCTGTCTTTCTGGTCTTACTTGTTATTGTGACAGCCTACACCTACACTGAAGACTTGATGGTGGCTTTTCTGCATTTTTTTCCAATTAAGAAATGGTCTTAAATGTTTACATTTTTAAAACTTAGCTGGTTTTTGGGTTTTTTTTGAGGAAAATAAACCTAGTGAGTACAAATGTCATTTATTTGCTACCAAAGCCAAGTAATCACTCAAGAAAGCTGAAGGCAGCAGCCACTTGACATTTTGAATTACGTATTTGTCTTGTTTGTATTGGCAGAGTCAAACAGCAGTTGTCCATGACTGGTTTTATCTTGTCTTCCATATTTAAGAACTCTAATTGGGCATGACATAGTGCAATCGGTTGGCCTGTTTAAATAAAAGAGAGAAAACCTCCTGGGTAGATGTTCCTGAAACCAGTGGTCATCAGCCCACTGATACTCTTGGAAATGCTGTGCAAGAGAGAGACCACGTAAACTGTCTCAGCTGCCTCTTGCTGCCAATGCTAAGTGGAGCAGAAACATGTTTCCAAAATGCTGTTTGTGGCCACAGCAGCACCAAGGAGTGCAACAAATTCAGAAAACACATGTATGGCTTGGCTTGTTTGCAGGCTACAGCTTTGTAGACCGTCAGGTCAAAAGATAGCTGCGTCCTTTCTGCCACTGGATAGTCACTTGCTACTTGGGGCTTAGTCTGTATTTAGCCCTCCAGCTTTTTATCTCTATTCCCCTATGTAAATATTAAACAGATTTATTTTATTCAGGCTTATTCTATGGCACTGAAAACATCAGCCAAAAATCCTTTCATAACTTAGATCAGATAGCTTTCTATTGTCCCCATCTTTGTGGACAGTTTCTCTCCTCTCTCACCAGCAGATCCTCATGCTCTGACAAAGCTTTTCCTCCACAGATCCACAGGAATCTCTTGGCTCCTTACTGTCTCTGTGTCTGCCTCCTCCTCCTGCAAGGGTTTGCTGTTTCACTGTGGCTTCTGGGCCAACCAGGTACAGGGGGTGGAGAGGAAGGAGGGCACAGGGGTTGTGATGGAGATTAGTGTTGGTCCCTGCCACCACTTCCAAGCAGAAAGTCAGGGGGGACCTTTGAGTACCAGTTCTCAGAGAAAGGCTATTTGCTTGCTAAATCTCTCTCCCAAAAGCAGCACTGACCCTGCCTTCTGGCTAAAGGGAGAACATGAAACACACACACTAACATATATATACACATATATGAAATGTGAAGTGCTTTTCCTTCCCCTAAGTTCTTCTGAATTTCTTGCGTAAGACCTGCTCGAGCAACATCCTGAATAATAGCTTCTGGTTGGCCTGGTGGACAGCTGTCACCATCCAGAGCAAATATGATTGACCTAAGAGATGTTATTCACATGGAGTACAATATTGCCCCTCTCGAGTGAGAGTCAAACAGGTAAAGTCATTTTCTACCCCTCCTGCAGGGAGGGGGGTTTCAGCAGGCAGAAACCAAAAAGGTCTCCTTATTTCTTGATGCAAACAGTGTCTCTCCTAAAGACAAGAGAACAATTCCAACAATAGTTGCATCAGAGGAACAGCAAAGCACTTTTTTCATGACCCTGCAGTTCCAGGAAATATTTGCATTGCAGATCCTGTCAAAAGAAAATCCGTGCTGAGACATCACATCTTCTGCTTTTGTTCTTTCCTTTGCCCCACTTTATCTTCTGTTCACGTGCTTGTTCTTGGTGTTCAGAAGTTGTCTCTCTTTTCTGTACTTTGCACGAAAAGCTGCTGAGAGTTTAAAGAAATAGATAGGAAACCTCAGACAGATGTGTTTGAGCTCTGAACAGCATCTTGGGCTCTGGCTGTGATGGTTTCTGAGGGCACTGGCCTCTCTGACAGAGTGCTCCCTTGGAGCTCCATCACTAGAGAGTCATAAGGACAGTTGGCAAGCAGCTGTTAAGTGCATCAATGGGAAAAGGAGAGAACAGGTGGTAGGTCCCATGCAGGTGTCATTTCTAATGCTGTGCCCTCGAGAAGACAGATGGTCAGTTGATACCAGTAGAAAGCAAGGGGTCTGCACACTGCTTTGAAACTCCAAATATGCTTCTTGTTCTCTCTTTCTCACTTCAGACATCGTAGAAGATAATAGTCAACCAGAAGGGAAGGGTGGGTACCAAGTCTCCCTTTCACTCAAGTGAAAGCCATTGCAGGGATGAAGCAAGAGGAATCTTCTTCCTGTGAACACAGCGTGGGATTTCTTCTCAACTCTTCTTACACTGTGGAGTTGAAATAAAGTAGCTTAAATTATTGCTGGTGATCAGAAGATTAAAAACAGCAAAATGTCCCAAAGTGGTCCATAGTCATTGGGGGCTTTTTCTAGGTGTGTCCTGACATATGGTAGTGAGTAAGCACCTAACCCTGCGCTGTTGAGCTGCCAGCCCTGCAAGCCATTGAGTTGTTCCAGTGACACCGTTGTGGCACTAGAGATAAGGCTCTGTTTGATTTTTCACTTATAGCAGTTCTAGTTTTCAGAAAAGCACAGCTAAGTAGTCAATTAGTTTTTAAATTCTAATCATGGAAAATATAGTTCACTGAAGAGTTCACTGAAGAATATAATCATTCATCTGGCTCCTCTGAGTCTCAGAACTACAAAGTTAAAATTAGCACATCATGAAACATCATTGAGGTCACAGTTCTCATAGCAGGGGGCTAACTAACCA